GCCGCCGGCTCCTCCCCCGGCTCCCGCGCGGGCGACGCGGAGCGCGAGGCCGGCCCGGAGAAGGAGAATCCGGGCGTCTGGCTAGCCTCCGAGCCGCCCTGTGGCCTTGGCCAAGTGGCTTTGCCTCTTGGGCTCTCGATGACCCGCAAGAGCCTGGCGAGCGGCGGTCAGTTCGTGGAAGAAATGGCAACGAGTTGGGGTTGGGGCCGTCCGGACTGGGGCAGGATCCTGACTTAACAAAGGGCGCGCTGCCTCTGACTCTCAGGCTGGGAGAAGTACGGCCAAGAGGCTTTGGGTTTGGGTGACGCAAGCAATCTGCTCTCAGCTGCTAACTTCAAAGGTTGGAGGAAGTCGTGTTTCCGTAAAGATTACAGCCGGAAACACCACCACCACCACCACCTCCCCCAATGGGGTCGCCAGGAGTCTACACAGCAGGGAATGGAGGAGGCTCTCTACTCACTGGGGCAGTTCTACCCTGCCCTGGCGGGTCGCTGCGAGTTGGAATCGGCTTGATGGCAGAGAGGTTCTCTGTTGTTGTAGAGCCCTTTGAGAGGATTGTGTGGGTGGACCAGTGGGAATCGGGTTGGTTGTTTGCTGTAACATGCCTTTGAGCATCCTGTTTATTTTCTGATAATAATTAAATGCTCCTTTCAAGGTGACAGCCCATTAGAGTTCAGTGTCCATCAGGCTACCCAGGTGCCGACTGAGGCCCAGCTTCCGGGCAAGGCAATGCCCCTCTGCCACTGTTGCCCTCTTCAGAGACCCCTCGGGGTGGGGGAGGCAGAAACTCCAGTTCCATCTTGGCACCATCATGGGAAAGGCAGCAGCAGGTCTCTCGTCAGTCTTACTGCTCTGGGGGAAAAGAAGTGGCGGGCTTGGGCTTGGCACACCATCAGCAAGAGGCTTGGGATCTTGGAACATCCAGGGATGACTTCCGTTTCTTTGGTCCAGGGATGATTTCCGTTTCTTTGGCCAATGGATATAGTAAAAACCACACCGCTGGGCCTCCGTGGGATGTGACATCCCTGAAAAGACCCCCTACTGTTTCCTCCGATTCGTGGATGAAGCCAGCAGAAATAACTCCTGAGTCATCATTACCACTTGGATGATGGGAACTGCTGGGTGGTTTGATACAAACGCTAGGGTTGTCACCTGACAGCATATTGTAATCGAAAGAGAAGTGTAAAATCCGAAAGTCATTTGTAATTCTCAATAATTAAACACAAAACTCATCAACAGAAAAATATCTTGAAGGACAGTCTCAGGAAGACCAGGGAGGATGTTGTCCCTTTGGCTGAACAGCTGATGGTGAAGGTGGGCATTGTAGTGAGAGAATTCAGAGGCCCCTATAAGAGCAGCCATGCTTAATCAACCTTTCCCACTTAGCAGTGACAACCACAAAGCAAGCCAAAAAAGAAAAGTTTACAGTGTGGCGTCTGACACTTCAGCTGGCCTTGCTTTGCTAAGCCAGCCTTGGGAAGGATGAGTCATGGATGCTGTGTTGGGGAGGAACGACTTGCGGTAGAGTTGATTCTAACTCACAGTGACTCTGTGTGTTACAGAATAAAACTGCTCCACAGAATTTCCGTGGCTGTAATCTTTATAATAGGAGAGTGCCAGGCCTTTCTTCTGCAGTGCCTCTGGGTGGGTTAGTTGTTAAGTGAAAATTGATTGCATCACCCAGGAACCTATAGGGAAGGCAGTTGCTGTCAGCTAATGTCAAGTCTATTCTGTCTCATGGTAACCTCTTGTGTACAGAGTAGAACTACTCTGTAGAGTCTCCAAGACTAGTAGTCTTTAAGGAAGCAGACTGCCTTCTCTCCTGGCCACAGAGTGCTTGATGGATTCAAACCACCAACCTTTCAATCAGCGGTCCAACGTTTTAACGGACTGAGCCACAAGAGTTTCTTTCAGGAAGATTAAGAGGAAACAGCCCAGCAATAGAACTAAAATCAGGGAAAAACTCAGAGCTCATCCCCTTGGTCCTCCATTACAAGTACTCCAAGTGTAAAGCCATTCGGAGCTCCAAAAGACAAGAATGCTTACGAGTGGACCCCTAAGGGTAGTGGGAATTCATTTCCAAGAAGTGTAGACAAT